TATTTATGCACTTGAGCAAAGTTAAACTTTTTTATTTTGTTTACATTGAAGAAGCTGTGATGCAGCTCTCAGCAGTCACATTCAGAGATCTTTAACTGGAACACCTGCTGGGGTTTTCCCTCCCATGCAGCTACGCTGAAGTCCAGTCGATGCTGGATGGAGTTTTTGCTCCGGCTTGTTTACCACAGGTTGCAAAGCTTTTTCATGCACGTTCTACCAAACCAAAGTGGGAAAGCACGTTCTCTGTGGGATCTGGCTTTGTGCATGAAGCCATTGTGACACTTTGGGGTGGCTGTAGCTCAGGCGGTAGAGCAGGTTGGTGGTTTGATTCCTAGTCTGCATGGCAAACATCCTTGGGCAAGATACTAACCACAAATTGCTCGCCGATGCATCCATCGGAGTGTGAATGTGTGTGTGAATGTTAGTGAGAAAGCAAAAAATGTGCTTGTGCGACTGGGTGAATGGACAAGTTATGTAAAGCGCTTTGAGCGCTCAGAAGAGTAGAAACGTGCTATTTAAAAACCGGTCCATTTACCATTTACACTGAAACAGGAAACAGCCAAACCTGAAAGCCAGGACTGTTTCCACCGAGCTGGACAAACACACTATTGTCTGAAACATCGCTGCAGCAGGAAGATGTCCCAACATCTGTGCTATGGAGCACGCAGCAGACTGTGACAGTCGCAGTGTGAATGTCTCCCTGCTTCCTGGTACAGAGACTGCAGAGCTGCACCGGGCTGGATTTACCGGAGTCTTATTTAAAGAGCCAAACCATGTTTAAACCATCAGTTAACAGTTAGCATCATTTGGCAGCTTCAGAGCTGTCCTTCTGCACTATTGAAAGGAAACAGTTTAAGTGAAGTCAGCCTTCCTCCTCCTCCTCCTCCAGCAGCTTTGTGTCTGACGTGTCAGCTAGCCTGAGCCAGGCCACATCTGGCCAGCTCTTTTCCCGATGAATCATCTGACTGCTGCTGCCATCATGTGAGCAGAGCGAGGGTAGAGGCCAGCAGCTGTTGGCAAAATACCTTTAAGGTTCCAATCAAAGGTCAGAGGTCACACAGTCATGCTCCATGTTACTGTGGCAGCAAAGAAAATCCCGCTAAGTGTGACGTAGTTTTTTATCCGGCAAACTGATGTGAAAATGTATGTAATTAAACTCAACCAGCGGAGGAGGCTGGTGTGTGTGTGTGTCTGCATGTGTGTGTGTGTGTGTGTGATCATCATCTGCCTCCGCAGCTTCAGGCTGTGTACGTGTGGATGTTGCCCAGCACATTACATCATTTTACAGACATGGTGTTGTACATAAACACAGGCAGGCTAACAGCGTTAGCATCAAGCTGGTAAACACATGTGTGCAGATGCAGCTCCTCTCTGCTCTGCAGCATCTGGATTTTTACTGCTCGTAAAAACTCTCCTCAGACATAAATACC